ATTATTGTCAGTTAGGCTGTGTCTTTATTTGCTTTGTTACCGTAGTTTCATAAGGTGCCTTCCAGTGGTTGCAATTCGTCATACATTTGTTTTGCTGACAAAATAATGCAGTTTCTTTTAGGATATAGTCTTCAGGAGGATATTCTAACAGCAATGTATGGGGTTAACTTTTGGGTTTTGCATTTTGAAGAAGTTTTTCTGACTAGGAATATAAGATGAAGATAAATAATGCTGGTTGGTTTGTCCACCAAGATTTCAAATTAACACTGTTGTCCAGTGAAAGACATCACTATTGATACCAGACTGTATAGAAGATATGATGGCTTCCAGAAAGTGAAGCCAAATAATTTCAGTTCTGTAATTTACCTCAGTATTACCGATGTTTGTGCAAATGCTACTTTTTTTTGGTTACTTATTTGATGCTATAAAAATTGTGTGAAACGTCATGATTGACAGATGCGGTTGGAGTTAATATCTGAGACGCAACTGGTCAATCACATCTACCTATGAAACTTCGCTACAGTGGCTCCATCCCCCAGCTGCTATCCTGGTTCTAAATTATATCATCGGCTGCAAGATGGCAGCATTCGTATCAGGGATACTTTGGCTTTATGTCTGGGTAGTGAGTTTTTATACACAGTCAAAGACTGATATAGATCATACAGCACTGAGTTTAGAAGGCCGATTGCTGCAGAGCTAATGTTTGCATTAACAGTTGTTTATTTTCTGATCTAGGAGAAAAGAAGCTCTGAAGAAGTAGGTGGAATGGCTCCGTGTTGCCTGCGTTATGTGCACCCCAGGAAGGATAAACGCATCACTTCCTGTGTCAGTCACACAGCGCTGGACCACACCCACTAATCATGCATTATGGTCCACACCATCATGTGTAGACCACACAGTTTTGTGACACGTATATTTTCACCAGTCCTGACGTGCGCGCAAAGTTTGGTACGTTTTCGAGTATGTTCAAGCCGTCAAAAATTGCCTGAATATTCAAATGAAAAGCAGTATTATATATAGCAAATTACCACTAAACTTGGTGGAAGGATGCATTATGGGTCAGAAAAGAACACAATGCATTTCAGGGTTGATCCAGATCAGGGTAGTGGGGGATTCCGACAAACCAGAGGCTGCGGTTTCAGGACCAAAGTTTCAGGGTTGTAAATCTATAGTTTATGTGACAGCGCCACCTAACGTCACCAAACTGGATGAGGATTGCAGTTCTTGACAAGACGTGATGGACAATCCACAGATTGTGAATTCAGTTTTATATAATTGACGTTAAAAACTGTTAGTAAAATAAATAGTTTTTTAAAGTGCACAGCAACGTTATCTTTCCCTAATCAAAGTGTGAGTAAACCTCCTACGCTAAACCCACCAAACTTAATTAAAAAGTGTGTTTTACGATGATTTACTTAATGATGGGATTTTTGATTTCTCAGAAAAATCGGGTTTGTTCAGGGCACTGATATTAATGAGTGTGTGCAATTTGGTACAGATATTAAATGTAAATAGCAAATGTGGCTGATTATTACATGATATTTGTCACATTTTTTTATGTTTGCAAAAATTGAACAACAGCACATAGATTCGACCTGATTAGTGTCACAGCCCTGTCCAAAATTAGCAATGATATTTCACTCCAGTTAAAGCTATTGTTTATTTTATAATCAGTGTCAAATGTGAAAAGGTTGTCTCCCACCTTTATAAGCATTATACACTGCTGCACACTCATTCCTCAGTCAGGCGCCTTGTTAGCACGTGACTGAGAGAGAGCGAGAGAGAGAGAGAGAGAGACCGAGAGGGAGGGAGGGTGGGAAAGGGAGAGTGACAGAGAGCATGGATGAAAGAAAGTGAGTATATGTGTGTGTCCGGACATGTGAGTGTCTTTGTGAGTTATTGTTTCTGCGCCGAGACCTATTTATACACCCAGACTCCCACGCTCCAGAAACACTCGACATTTGTTTCCATTATCTCCCCATCCCCACATCATCTTCTTATGTCTCTCTTTTCTCCATATCGCTCATTCTCCTCTGATCGCCATCACCACACAGGTAAAACACCACAGGAGAAGAACTGAAATTAACAGGAAAGACAGATCGGGGTCACTATGAGCCTCAAAGAGCTGCACCCATGGAGTCCAGACTGTGGGTGTAATTGTGCATTTCAATTTGCTTTAATGGTTAAAATAGACAAAAATCCACCTGCAAGGGAACGAAGGACTGAGGCTGCAGCAGTGAGGATGAAGAGACGGAGGGACAGATGGATGCATGGACCGATGGACAGAGTGAAATCATTTTCCAGCTCACAGGCAAAGGAATAACGGTGATGCGAGAGCTCCATATTGTGCTGCAGACTGTGGGAACTTCGGTGTTACGTAATGGCACATACACACAAAGCATATAAACAGAATCACAGAGCCTGGGGGCAGTGGCTGAAGGGGAAGTCGGATCCTTCCCTCACCTGCTCGCAGATCTTCTCAAGTGCTTCTGCCATCAGCATTCTGTTGCTTGCATAATATCACCCACAGCCATGAAAGCCAGAGAGAACACGTGGCCTCTAAGAGGGTTCCTTCTTGCTGAGGGGTGATTTCGCATTCCCTCTCTTCTTCCTCTTTTCTCCCTCTCTTTTTTCCTTCATGGCAATAGAGCCATTAAGTTAATACGCCACGGCTGTGCTGTTCTGCAGAGCAGGACAACAAAGAAGAGGCAGCAATTTGGTCATGTCATATGGTAAATGTGATCTTCTAAGAACCTGTTAATGATTGAATATAAATGGAGTCTTTGGAGATGGCAGGGATAAACAACATATGGGGAGCCAGCGTGGACAAAAAGCAACACTGCTCAACCTCATGTCCGTAGACAAACATATATGAAGTGTACATACTGAGGGAAAAGCTGCCCACGCGTTTGCACACACTCGTGCCTGCATGCTCACTGAGGGGTAAACTATCAAGTGGCTAGAAACTGATGGATCGTGACGACAAAGCTCCCTCAACCTGGACAACTGAAAATCTTTAACACACCACATATTTTCAAAAAACCGAAGAAATGTGTTTTTGTGTAAACTTTATTTATTTTGCTGCATAAAATTGTTTTGGTGGGCATAGACAAAAAATGCCAATAGGTCAGGCAGACACGTCTCTCTGTAGGACATGAACAAGCCATATATGTGGTCTTCCTGTGTTATATTCCCCTTTGATGTAAACATGCTGTACACTGAAAATACTATTATTATGACAATATAAGAGTAGTAATGGTTTAGCTACAGAGAGAAGCATAGACCTGACTGTTCTAAAGCAAAGCTCCTGTCATTAGTTTCCATGTGGAGGTGGAAGGAAGCTTTTTCTACTTTGAGACGGTTTGTCAGTGTCACAGTGAAAAACAATTGTCGACTGTCTGTTCACTGGATTTGTTATCGTAATGAAAAACAACTCACCCAGGAAAACTCTCCTTTTACCAAATGTTTTGATTCAAGTTATAAATTTGATGAATTTGTTTTTGATCTGCCATATAAAACACATCAACATATGCACAACATAGTACTGCAAGATCATTTCCACCAGCTTGTTCAAGTGATATCATTTGGGGTTTGTTTGTATTCTTATTGTTTAAACCTGTTAGAATAATGCTTTAAAATGTAAATAGGAATATAGTCACCTGACTGCTGCTGTGAAGGCAAGGTGTAGGCTACTGTCATCCTTTTATCCCATCTATCCCTCTTGCACATGTCTTCCTCCCCCTCAATCTTTTTTCTTCTACCCGTCCTCTCGTATACTTCCCCAGGCCTTCACCCTCTTCACGGCTGCATCTGTTTTGTAGATGAATGCCCAACACATCAATGTCTGATATTTTCAAGAAGTGTGTACGTGAAATTAACATCAGCTGGCAAGTGTTCTCTTCCAGGCATTTAGAGATCAACACAAATCAACAGTGAAGAAGATGAAGTTCAAAGAGTGAGGAAGCCACCAGAGATTTGGTGTTGCTATGGAGATGACTGATTTTGTGTGTGTGTGTGTGTGTG